CAATGGCTTTAGAGATAGCAAACGGATTAATTTTCAAGAGTAGTTGATTTCGTGAAATCGAGACATCATCATCAGATGATAAAATCTCAGCTTCGAGTCGTCTCTTCTTTTCATTGCGGTTGGAACCAGAATGATTGTGAGCCATGATGAAAGTAATTTATTCAGCACCCCTGCTCCCCACCCACCATGGAGTGCTACAAAGAGCGATGTTTAATTGCACCGGATCTCCAACATGCAAACATCAGGGATACAGAGGTGGTATACTCCAGTAAAAACAACATGAATAGCTGCATTTGTCTAACAAATAAAATGCCAGGCTGGTCCGGCCCATGACAAGAAATTGAAGACATACAGAACTCAGAGGTCGAAAGTACCAGATTGGCCCATGAGCCACCGCCTTCTGGCGTAAGACTCTAGGCAAATTACTCAATCAAAAATTGAAAATACACACAAGTTATGGACGGCCAAGGCCAAAATATACGTTAAAATACAACACAGATGTGCATACACAATATTACGCACAGGGCCTGGCATGACCAGCCGATTGATAAGACCGGGCCCATCTTACCACCCGTCTAGGCGAAGTAAGGGTCGAAGTAGTGTGTTGGGCAAAGGAACACAGTTCCAGGAACCAGTGCCCCCAACTACCAGACTCCCGTCCTCGGCCGACACAGGGACGCAACCCACGGCAAACGGGCTGCCCACTTTGGTCGCCTCTTACGACCAGCAATGGGGTGCTGTGGAAATATTCTACCCCGGTTCCACACGGGGGAAGAGCGATTAGCGTTACCCAGCACTCACCACGAGGAGGTTGCTCTTCACGAGTGCCTCGTCACGCCGAAGACCCGGGTTTGATTCTTGATATGGGCACAATGTGTGAAGCCCATTTCTGGTGTCCTGCACTGTGATGTTGCTGGAATATTGCTAAAAGCGGCGAAAAACCCACTCACTTACTCACTCAGAATTTTGATTTCTTCCAACTCACTGTCCCACAAGAGGAACATAATAAAAACTGTCTATTTCTTCCAGAATACAAACACACTCTTTACATATTATCATTTAACATGTTTAAAGCTAAATCGATCGTCACGCCGAAGACCCAGGTTTGATTCTTGATATGGGCACAATGTGTGAAGCCCATTTCTGGTGTCCTGCACTGTGATGTTGCTGGAATATTGCTAAAAGCGGCGAAAAACCCACTCACTTACTCACTCAGAATTTTGATTTCTTCCAACTCACTGTCCCACAAGAGGAACATAATAAAAACTGTCTATTTCTTCCAGAATACAAACACACTCTTTACATATTATCATTTAACATGTTTAAAGCAAAATCCTTTACAAATAAAATATTAAGTTCTTCATATTCCACACAATTTTCCATAAAGCCTGCTCTCAAATGGTCCTTGTTCTTGCTGCTTTCACTTACATTTCACCGAGGATTCAAATGGGTCATCATCAAGTAAGTCATCATGATAACTATCAACTTCTTTTCAAAAGGGGAAAAATATTGGCATGTGGCTAGGTTGAGTCAGGAGTAGACATATGTCTTAAGGTCCCAGAATCAAGTCAAAAATTGATGGTACGAGTCTGCATGGTTTGGGCAGATTTCTTTCTCAGTTAATATCCTGGCCTTATAGTAATTGATATGCAATTATTTGATATGTAACTTGTACCAATGTCTTTAATCAAAGATGTAATGTAGCGATGCTTACATGTAACGGCTATTTCAGGCCTTGTCAGTGGAAACAACTTAACAATGTTCATAGGGTCCGCCAGACTTTTGATGACATCTGGCTGGGGCAAATGGGTTTATTCCAATTCTGTTAACCCTTTTTCAGTTTGTGCATTCTACCTATGATGCCCTGACATCATCAGACCCTGATTTAACTCGCTATGAAAGAGGCTGGCGGATGGACGGAAATGTTTTATGTATTAGAAGGACCGCAATTTGGACCATTTCCATGTATGCTTAGGTTTGAAATGTTTGGGGGCAGTAAATGTTCCCGTCACAGATGCTTTCAATGGCATGTTAGTGACGTGTCGTGAAATTCCAAAAAAACATCAGAGCTCAGCAGATTTGTTTTGTCTCTGAAAATTAACACAGTCTCCGGGCTCCTATTTATAATATTTCATTAAGATAATTTAACAAATGTTGTTTCTGTAAGATATGTTGATTTCAGAGACTAGATGTTAGTCTTATAGGTTTGGAATACAAGACGAATCAATGGACACATAACTAATTTAATCTCTGCGGGCGCTCGGTATCGTTGCAGAGTCTGTTAACAAAGGCACAGCTCGTTAAGCTGGACAAAGGATGCTCAGTACATTTACGAGGGATATTTGATTGCAAGTGGCCATGGGGAAGATAAAACCCGTAGTTTGTTTGTAACATGACCACAGTGGACCGTTGGACGACAGCAAGTGCAAGTGAACACGAACATTTTAAGTGTTTACTTTTTATGAACAGATCACATTTATGTGAACCTTTTACTTGCACTATAACTTTCATAAAGTATTTAGGCCTCTATGTTTGTTTGTTTGTTGTTGAATGCCGCACTTAGCAATAATCCAGCTAAATGACGGCGGCCATCCCCTAAAATTATGCTGTAAGCATCTGTCTTATCATATTTTGTCACAACATAATTGTGAAAGCTTAATGGATCCATGGCATAGTCAGCCTTATAATAAAGATATTCGTGTATGACTATATAATGAAATTTCATAATAGAATATAATGACAGCGTACATCGATTCATTATTACACCCCATTTGGATTTTTTATAGTAATTCAGTCTTATCACCGCCTCCGTGGTCTAGAGGTAGCCCGGAGAGCGGAAGGTCCGGGGTTCGATCCCCGACCGCGTCATACCAAAAGACTTTTAAAGATGGTACTTGTTGGTTCCCTGTCTGTGTCTGTTACCCAGAAACTGTTTGAATAAAATTGGTCTAACCGAAATTGAAGGCGACTTAATCCTGTTGGGCCACTTCCTGGGAGTGAAGACCAAATGAAAGAACCTGGTTACAAAAATCTAACATGCGAACTAACATACGAAATGCTTTATTTGTCATTTATGCCTTAAAGAATGTCAATCAGGGAAAAATCATGAATAAACTGAGCATGCGAAAATTTGAAACAATGTAAATTTGAGTATAGCATATTTAACATCCTACAATACACCTGAAAACGGATAAGACGGATTGGGGAAGATTGTATTTCTAATTGCATGTTGTCTGTTAAAATAAATAAAATATGACAACTCTGTGCCCCTTTAGGATTTTGGGTTTTAGACGACATGAATAGAGATCACAAAATATAAAGTTCTTAGTAATTGTATGAAGTCGATGTCATTAACGTTCATTTCTCTTCAGCTTACTTTGTTGAACTGTTTTAACCCCAAAGGACAATTTCAATGCGTGAATGTTTCATGAATTACAAACGTAGATTCTAGGTTATTTTGGTAAAATGCATGTAGCGGTACATCTTCCGGATGTTTCAACAGAAAAAAAGGACCGCTGAAGCAGGTGACATCTTTCCTGCATTTGCGGATTAAAATATACAGAACATATAGTATCCTAGAACACATAAAGGGGACAATCCCATTGTTGTTTGTTCATTTATGGGAACTGTTATATATATGAGAATCATTTGCCAGACACTGTAATTCTCTACAAACAAAACTCGAATGTAAGTATTACACTTACTATATACATACTTATAAGTGTTCTAATATGTATTTTCTACTGCGTTCATGTTAATGCAGTCATTATGCATGACAAATTAGAAGTAATGTGCCCTATCAAATAAACCTGGTTTATGAACATATGAGTTGAGTTATGGAATCTATGTATTGTTATAATAGAGATAGGGTATATAACAAATATTGATTTACGTCTCCAATGTCTTTTACCAACACAAAGTGCATATTATTTTATTATATAAGATACATTAAGATCAACCTACACAAACTGGAACATGGCATCAGAATTGAAGACCAACACGCCGATGGCATTTCTTTTTAAAATATTGATAAATAACATCAAAGTTAATAAATATTCATTGTTATACAATTATTTGTGACACCTTCAGAGGAATATTAATGTTATACAATCATTGGTGTTTCATGTATCAGTGAAAAATTTGACATCTCATTGATATTATATTTATTGATATTTCTCTGGAAGTGAAGGATGCAATTGTAAAACTGCAGACTGATTGACATTCAGGACTAACTCATAGGTTTGACTAACCGATATTGCCAAAGTGTTGTACCCTTGAGTATTTGTCTAAGTAAGTAGTGGTTATGCTATTGTGTCGTAGTTAACACTAGAAGGAAAATAAATAATCTGCTGTCTCTTAAAAGTTGTACAATGACTCAGAACAAAGAAATCTAAGTTGTTGCTCATTAAAAGCTCCAATACTCCCACAGTAGCCACTATGAACGAATAACTTGGGTTTGATATCGGGTTACATTCGACAGAAACACTAGTACTATCGATAATACTGAAAAATGTCCAATATATTTCAAACGCCTGGAACTCTACAGATTTCTGACAGACAAACATTCCAAATACCATTTCATCACGTTTGAAACATGTGTAACTACTACTGCCAATTTGCATCGCTTTCAAACCATATCGAAACAGTTGGGGATTGATCTTATTTATTTCCAATGATTTCAAACCTGTACAAAACTGATCACCTAAATTCATTCGTTTCGTTATGTGTCAGCACCGTTAGGAATACATGGAAATAATTCATTTTATAAGCATACATTCCTATTACCTGGCAAATAAAGACAAAGCACATGCACATACCAATATAATTTCCCATAGGTGATTTCGCCTATGCGCATAGAATTCAACAATTCAAAAACGTATTCCAAACATTAGGGCATGCATGGAAATGCATCATGTCATGCACATGTTTAAAAAGTCATAAAATAGAGAAGATAAATGAATAGTAGTTCAGATGACGGTCGTGAAATGTATCTCTTGCAGACAATGAAGAGACAAGTCCTTCCTCTCCTGCTGTTCCTTCTTCCGCACCATGCCCATAGTGGTAAGACCAGCGTGTTTTGTTTGAAATTTAATTCACATTATTTCTTCATTATTTCGAGAAGAGTTAAAGAAGTAATTGAAAAGGAAGATAGATCGTTAAATAAAAAAGCGTCATTAATACTTTCAAGGTTGCAAATGTTAAAGATCATACCCAAAAATAATATTTGAAAAATATAAATTCCGCAAAAACAATTTCATATATGTGTTAAGAGTGATGCTGCCGATAGCGATAGCAGTTGACAATTCCTCTACTCAACTCCTTTATTAGGTGGACACAATTTTATGGATAACAACTTCTTTAATACTGTAAAATGCGACGTTTCGGTATAGATCATTATACCGTTGTCAAGCAAGACTTGACAAAGGTATGAGTCTTGCTTGACAACGGTATAAGGATCTTTACCGAAACGTCGCTTTTTACAGTATTAAAGAAGTTGCTAACCATAAAATTGTGTCTACCTGGTCATACGTAAACATCTAAGTAATGCCTGTCAAACAATTTAACGCCTTTATTGTATATTTTTATTTCGAAAATCCTGGTTTCTTTGGTCCAGATTATTCGTCATGATATTGGCTGAATATTGCTGACTGTGCCTTGGGGGATTTCAAGATCTGATGTTGAAAAATACGCCTTTTACAGACAAAGAATACAGTCATTTTTGACATTATTGTTTTATTTAAAACAATCATAAGGAAACAAATTGGATTGAACATATCATGACCATTATCAATTTAATCCAGGTAAAACCGAATCTACTGTATAATTTTGTTATTGAAACTACTATATTGAGGATTTAATGTCATTAGCTTAATTGTTCACGTTTTCTAGCTAACACGTGCACATATTACACCTCGGAAAAAGATACCCACAAGCGATGGCCACATGTTGGAGACCTCGATATGGATGATTCAAAGAATAATGGAGCGAGCTTGGTTGCATTTGATCATGGTGTAATGTTGGATTATCCACCCGGTGTAGGTTCTTGTGGAGGAAAGTATCCCATTTGGAGGAAAGGTATATTTGAATATGATCTCGTGTCAGGGGGTGGTGATGTGTTGTTTATTGTTGTTCTTCAAACATTTGTCCTAAAACGGTTTCGGCCTTCATTTGTCTGAAAACAGTGTTTGTCTCTACTGTCACTATACATTTCTACAAGACTCCAATTAAAGTGATTTAAATACAACCTCCTTCAAGATTCGTATCCTGCCATGAAAAACAATCCACTATAATACTGCGCGGTGCTGAAGCAATGGGGGAAAAATTATCTAATATATTTGTGAGTCAGTATTTTTAAATTCTGCTTTATTATGTTTTTGCTTCTGACTAACGTTAAATTAAACACATTTGATATCTTGAAATCAGGTGAAGAGAAATATTATTCATGATGTAAATTGGGCAGTTGTCTGTAAGCTGTCAGTGCTTTGTTTCTACCATGATTGAATACCTCAGTGATAAAAAGGTATACATTTTATAATGAGGGAGTAAGCATATGCTCTGAAACGTTGTTCCTTGTAATAATGAAGTTGACACCCATAACGTCTTTTTTATAAACTTATGTCACTTTGAATCCTACGTCATGTTCTTTAGTTTCACAAATGTTAACATAACGCTTTTCAGGAAATTTATCCCTTTTGTCTTCATCTTTAATATATTTGTTTGTGTATAGTACACACTTCATGTATTTGTATTGGTTTTTGGCTCACCATCAGCCTACCAGCATTGTTATCAGGTGAAACAGATAACTCCATAAGATGAGAATGATTTTGACATTCTTGTTATTGCTTATACCCAAAATATCATTTAAGCTGGTTCTGATCAAGATGTTGATATTGTTATAATGTTATAAATATCAAAGGAAACGTAAGTTTCAAAAACTCAAGCGCAAAGATAGTGATTGTTTTGTGTCAGAGTCAAATTCTTTCTTTGAAAGGACAAGCTGGCGATTTGAAAAAAACACGATGGGTCTTACCCATTCTCTTTGGTTTCACTTACGTGGAAGCGTCCTCAACCTCAAAGACTTAAGGTTTTCTCCAGCATTAAGCTTACAGCCCGTCATCTAACTGAATTATTGTTTAAAGCACGTTCACAGACAACGTGTCCTGTTCAGTGTGGGTGTGTTTTCTGTTTTAGGTTTAATGTCATGATGATGATGGTAATTGTAGCAACTAATCTAGTGCAAGAGTCGGCACTAAGTATGTTTGAAACGAATTACATTATTACTCAATAAACAGTGTTCATTCCAACCTCATCTCCGTGGGGGTACAAACCTAAGGCACTAAAGGGTTTGCATTCCATTTATATTCTTGCCCTACTGGATATCCATTCGCTGCTTGGTTAACATTGGCACATTTCGAACAGCCTTAAGGCATTTGTCTAAGAAGACTCGGTATGCAGTTTTTGTTGGCAGTATCAGTATATCCGCCGTCATATAGCTGGAATATTGCTGAGTGCGGCGTTAAACAACAAACAAACAAAACAGTATCATATACAACCTTTTCCACTTTGTATACACTAGGGCCTGAGGTAAAACATGGCAACGCTAATATACCATTTACTTTATGTTTACAACCCGTGAAGATCCGGGTTGAGGATAAGTCTTCTGCAACCACTGCTTGCCGTAAGAGGCAACTATGCGTGTCATATGATCGGGCGTCAGGCTCGCTGACTTGGTTGATGCATATCTTCGTATCCTCATTGCGTAGATCGATGCTCATGATGTAAATCACTGGACTGCCTGGTCCAGACCGCCGTCATATTACTGGAATACTGTTGAGTGCATCGTTAAACAACAAACAAAGGAACAAAGCTTCATGTTTACTTACCCCTTCGCTTCAGCGCATTGCCTTCATTCTATATGACATCGTTTTCATGTTTTCTTGTAGAGCTAAGGGGAACCACTGTCTCGGTGGTGTGTGTTCAAAACGAAACCGACGCATGTTCCACCACATTCGAAGTTGAAACAATGAAGTGTTTCAATTTTTTTGAACTCTACAGGATCAAGACCAATGTTATTCGGAGTGTCTTCTGCCTTGGTGAGATTATGATATTATGAGAATTGTGATAATAAGTGTTTTGACATGAATCTACTTGTATATCAAGAACATAAATAATACCCATGAGTGGCCCTGTGACATAAGATACCGGATTTCGCTTTCTGAACGTTTCACCTACATGAAAGTTTGAAGCTGCGTTAGTAATACAGCCGTTTCGTGAAAAGGATGCACTCTGTAATAAAAGCATGAACCTTGGAACAGTTGTCGGCATTTCGTGTGAACTTGACCCACAACCTAAATATATTATGAAAAATGAAAATTTTGGAATGTATTTACCCAACATTACATCGGTCCCTTGCCAACCAAACCATTAGCCATTCACATTATGTATCAATAAAAACAAATTTTGTTCTTCAAATATTATGTTCTTGTCATTGTATTCACCATATGAGTATACAGTATTGGTATAGTTAATTGGCCTTAATGAAGTATGTCTTAAAGATATGCCGAAGAAGAAAGAAATGCATATTTTCAAATAAAGATAAATAGTATAATATGATAAAGTTATTTACTCTACAGATATAATGATGGGTAAATACGTTCCAAAATGTTCATTTTTCGTTATATATTTAGGTTGTGGGTCATGTTTAACTGAGATATACGAGAAGTTCCATAAGGTCATTCCTGCATGGCGGCCATATTGGACTTTTTTGGTGGCCCCATATCAGAAAATATTCGGAATGACATAATTACTTACAACTGTGCCACGTTTAATGTTTCTATCACCAAACAAACCCAACACAATTGACCCTCTATCTGCGACGAAATGGCTTCACTGTAAGACAAAGCCACTCCCCTATTGAAGCATTGTTATAACAAAGATCTTTACAGTTATGAACGTGCCGGTAACACGAAAAGGCGCACAATTTGCAGTACCCTTAACATCTCCAAGCCATTCAAGGTAGCCATTGTTGTAGGTTTGAATCCTTTGGTCTGCGACACCTTTGTCTTTTTTCTCATATGAAGTTGACACATCGTAATATCGTTGAACAACCGCTTAAAACGACGTTATTCAGTACTCGTAGACGTAGACAATGTTTTCTAACAAACTCTAATCAATCGGAATCCTTAGGTATCGCATAAGTCAGGTGATCAGTAACATCTTCAGATCAGTATTATCTGATATTGATCTAAGGGGATTAGTTTTGAAGAATAGAATCATTTAATAGTGTATGCTGTATAACTATCTTCACGAATTGCTCATTTCTTGCAGCACCTAACTACTGTAGGAGTACGCCATGTGCAAATGGAGGAACATGTATTGCAGGCCGTGACGGTTTCACATGCGCATGTAAGGCAGGATATACAGGTCGTACGTGTGATGGCGGTAAGTACTCAAGTGACCCGTGAAGACCCGGGGTAGAATAGGTCTTCAGCAACCCATGCTTGCAGTAAAAGGCGACTAACGGGATCGGGTGATCAGGCTCGCTGACTTGGTTGATGTATGTCATCGATCCCAATTGCGTGGATCAATGTTCATGATGTAAATCACTGGATTGTCTGGTCCAGACTTGATTATTTACAGACCGCCGTCATATAGCTGGAATATTGCTGAGTGCGGCGTTAAACAGTAAACCAAACCAAACCAAGTACTCAAGTATTGTAAATCATAAATTTTTTTTTAATAATATGTTGTTCGTCCTATTAACTCAAACTTTAAGTTAGCGGTTGGGTAGCCTTGTGGTTAATCTGTTGACTCGTCGCTCCGAAGGCCCTGGTTCGATTCCCTACATGGGTACAACGGAGGAATCCCATTACTGGTGTTCAACTCAACCATCATTAAGTCAGCGCTTTGATTGATGGCATGTCATCGATTACCATCGAACATGGGACGTTCACTCACTGGTTTCCCTGACCCTTACTTTGGTTATTCACAGACCGCTTTACATAACTGAACGTTTGTGGGTTGCAGCTTTAGAAACAATATCAACAATCTTTTAACTAAATATGGAACAGTCAGTGGCTCTTATGTATATTACAACCTTGTTGAAAATAAAAACAACATAGTCATAAGAAATCCCCGACTACATCATATTAATTATGTGTCTGTGAATCACCATCAGATAGTGAAGATACGACCTGTACGTGACAAGGTGAGTGTACCAAGTCCCAGTGGTGCCACCCGTCACAAACAAATCCAAAGGCAATTTAGTTGTAGACTTGAACAAAGACGGGAAACATGTCGTACAGGTCTAAACGGAATTGCATTGACATAATTTGTCTGTGATGCTTTGGAAATGTCCTCTACATGTCTACCATAACACCTGTTTGAAAACTCATATAAGGCCTTGAGTATTGAAAGTTTCGTGGAAAGAGGATGCCCTAATACATCACAAATGTAGATATAATTGCCAAGAGCTGCTGGAGTATTGCTCGATATGAAGGGAATGTTGAAGTCGTGCACTGGTCATACAGTCGTGATACTAGCTTTTGTCACTGAAACATTATGCACGGACATAAATATACAAAAAGGGTTTCATTAGTATATTTTAGTTGAGGGCCGCTTTACTCAGAGTGATCTTAACTCCACGACTGCCGGAAATGCGTTAAATGTGTTAAAGCATGGAATCGTCGTAGCGTTAATACCGATTTGTGCAACGGAGCCAAGCTTGATAAATCAGTAGAAGAGATTTGGCAATTTGACCATTATTGAACGATAATCGACATAAATGCTCTTTAAGATAATCTTCTTGGCCAAATCCCCGTGTTCTACCAATCCGAGCACATATTCCTATCCACGTGCATAAAAAGACCCGATCAGCAAAAGGGAAGCACAACTGGCGCCCATTGAAATGCTTCCTTCTTGACTGAATGTCCCATCCAAAATTTCATATTGATTCTTCTGTGAGGAGGTCTTGCATTTCGCCAACTTGAAGGAATGAAGTGTCCCTTAAGTGTGTCGTGTGGAATAGAGGTAAACACAGAAATCCAAAAGTGTAATTCAAACAATTTTTTTCCGTTATTAATGTCAAATACACAGCTATACCAGAAATAACATGAGTTCTGGTAGATATGGTTAGCATGTGTTTAATACGTGTAACGTTTACCATGTGACAACAAATTCTGACAAAACGTATTATTTCTCTTTGCCTGATTTCGAGGGTCAGTTATTTGCTTTAAGTACTAGTAATCATTTAACGAATATTTGACCAAACTTTATTTTATTATACTTGTAGATCCTTGTACTGTTTCAACAATGATACCAGACATAGAGAAAAGAGGGCCATCTAACACCCACGCTGGACAAGTCAGAGATTCGACCAGTCTAAAGTCTGGGTGGTACGACTCCTTCAATGACACAAAAATACTGACCCGGCCTGTTTTTGGTCCGGCATGTGGGGAAAAATTTCCATTTTGGCTCAAAGGTTAGCAGTTTTATTTCCGACAAAAACGCGTTCAAAGACGAGTGTCGGTCCGTATTGCGGCCGGCAATCCGTCAGGTTTCTCATGCAGTTAAATGTTACATGTTTTCCAAGATATTGATCAGGGTTGGGGTTGGGGTTGATCAGTGTTTACTCACTCATGGGTTTTTGACACATACTGATCCCATAAATATCCATCATTCTTGTCATTCAATATTTCTATTTCAGTCACTGGATTGTCTTAACCAGAGCATATTTTTTACTGCTGATTGCGATGTAAAATACAAACAAGCCGAAATAGAGACAGTGTTTATTCATTTTAATTCTATCAAGTTGGGTGATGTTCTCTAATACCCCTTGTATCAAGTACGACCGTGTTTACCCTTTATGTTCTGATGTTTTGTGTAAACCTGGTGTCTCCACTTTTACTTAACACTGTGAGTGAGAAGAAAATGCTAAATATACCTTTTCATAAGCATGTACTAAAGGTTTCTTTTCTGGTGACTGAAACGGTTATTATTATTATTCATCGGCAAGTTTGTAATAAATATGGCGATGTCTTCCTTTTGCACCATCGACTGATAAGGAGTCGTAATACAATTTGATTCCAGTTCCAGTATCGCTGAATGATGTCTTCTGAAGTGAACCGAGAGGCTGATTTGCCGCGCACTTTATTGAAGCAGAAGCATTAGGAAAAATTCAATTCAGATCTTGCCATTTTTTATTTTTTATTTTTAAGAGAAATATACAATTAAAACATTTCCTGTTCACACGTTCATGTGTTGTCCTGTTTCACAGAGATAAGAGGTGACATGGCAGAGTTATGTCTGGCTACGTCTACGCATGCATGTTACGCAGCGTACATGACTACACCGACCCAGAATTGCAGCGACGGTAGACAAGTGTTCAGGTTCCCACGTCCCCACAGTTCATTTTCGTACTGCTATGGTAAGCTTTGTTTTGTTTGTTTGTTGTTTAACTCCGCACTTAACAATATTCCGGCTTTATGACGGCGGTCTGTAAACAAGAGGCCCATAGGGCCTGTATCGCTCACCTGGTTACGCAATCATGACAAAATATAAATATGCATTGTACATGTATATAATACTGCAAATATTTCGTAAGTTTGACTCTGTCAGCATTTAAAATGGGTGAATGGCAAATTTGACAGCATGAACGTGTATTTCTCTAGATACAAATGTAGCATAAAGAGCTGAACCGTTTTCATGTTTTGATCCAGGATAAATCATATTAAAGGTATTATTCTCTTCATAACAAACAAATGTATACAATGTATATGTTAATTATAGGGTAGGGATGATATTGGTTTGCATGTTATGGTCAAGGTTCTAATTCCTTTACGAGTGCCGGACAGATGAAAAGAAGGACCAGCACTGGTAGCATATGTGCATTCCTCTCATTATACTCTCAATTGTACATATGTTTATACTATGGGGATCTTAACTGTGTCCAGGTTATGAACTCTGCGCCGCTCTTCAGTCCCTTGGGGGTGGGGGGTGGCGATTGTGAATTCCAACCTCATTAGAATACTTCCAACCAAACATAGTTGATGTCCATCTCTGATGTCCAGAGAAAAAGTCATTTAAAGCAAATTACCCTTTGAGCCCCGCCCCTCAGTCCCCGGAGTGGGGGTAGGATTCAGCCCCTCCATTTCTCCAATTTGAATCCCCACAACCTTGGGATACTTCCAGTCAAATTTAGTTAATTTCCAATTAGTGGTTCAGAAGAGGCCGTTTGGGTAAATTGTTGACGTACGGACGACGGACGCCACGGTATGGCATAAGCTCACCTTGGTCCTTCTGACCCGTTGAGTTAATATTCGAGTCTGGACCTGGCAATCCAGTGATTGCCATCATGATAATCAATCTTCCTATTTTGGATACGATGACATGCATCTAGCAAGTCTGACCACCCGATCCTGAAGTCCCATCTTACGACAAACATAGTCGCCTTTTTCAGGAAGCATGGGTTGCTGAAGACAAATTCTAAACCGGATCTTTACGGCTGGCTATGGTAAGCACACATGTACATGCGTTGAAAAAATAGTCAGTGAAACCCAGCATTGGGGGTGAACGTCGCTTTCAAGACTATGTTGTGCATGCACTTGTGTTTGACTGCTGGTACTAGTCTGGACTTTCGCACAGTGCTAGCCAACTGAGACACGAAGAATCAGTTCAACAGACTGCACGCCGACTAATCCGAATTTTAACCCCTAAATGACAATCATCAGGCAAGGTAACCAAAAGTACCATATTTTAACGTATTTTGGTTTGACGCGAATTGGGATAGAACCACCAACCTTCAGCTCGCCTGACAGACGCTCTAACCACTTCACCAAGGACGCGTCCCATACCCCAAAATGACATTTCCTGTCTGTTGATCGTTTGTCATGTCAGCGAATCGCGATGTTTATTGCCTTGTGGGGATGCGTATGTTTGGAATTGGATCCACGCAGAAACAGGAATCTGCCTGTCTGATTGATCGGTGGTCACGTGACCGCTTCTAGACAAGTAAAAATTGGAATTTTTCTCTTATAAATATATGCGTATATATCACAGAACCCATATATCCCGTGGGTGTCAGTGCTGAATAATGATTTATAGTAAATAGTAATTTACTTTTAAGCACAATATACTCTCGAAACCAGCTACATAATTTGACGTTAATATGAGAACCAGAAGCCTATTCTAACCCGAATCCCCATCGGGTATTCGTAAATGTACCTCTTTATTCCAGATGTAGATGCATGTGTCACCAATCCCTGCCTGAATAATGGAACTTGTGAGGCGAAGAAGGGCGAGTTCACCTGTATTTGTCAACAAGGTTACAAGGGACTTGAATGTGAAACAGGTAACGTTATTTAGATTGTTTGTTTGTCTGTTGTTTAACGCCGCACTCAACAACATGCCAGCTATATGACGGCCGTCTATTAATAATCAATGGCCAGTCTGGACCAGACAATCCAGTGATTAACATCATTGGCATCGATCTACGCAAATGGGATACGATGACGCGCATCCACCAAGTCAGCTAGCCTGACCACCCGATACTGTTAGTCGCCTCTTTCGACAAGCATAGTCGCCTTTTACGGCAAGCATGTGTTGCTGAAGACCTATTCTACCCCGGATCTTCATGGGTCTCAATAACATGAGTATACAGTGAATTGCTTTAATCCTAGTAGTGTGATTCCGACCCGTAAAGATCCGGGGTTAAAATATGTCTTCAGCAACCCATGTGCTTGTCGTAAGATTCGACTAGCAGGATCGTATGATCAGACTCGGTGACTTGGTTGATGTATGCCATCGTATCATTATTGAGTGGATCGATGCTCATTATGTCAATCACTGGAATTTCTGGTTAAGCCTACTTACAGAGCGTCGGCATAGAGCTGGATCATTGCTGAGTGCGGCGTTAAATAATAAACAAACAACACACAACTGTAGTTCCAAGTGAAATCGTCCTGATTAACAAATTTCCTGATTAAATGCCCTAGGGCCATGGTATTCCCTTTAAATAATAACAATTCCAAACGGCAATCGCCAAGAAGAGATTTTTTTAGATTAACGGGATCCAGACAAACGGCACACTTGCTTTCGTTGTGTGTGGTATGTTCATTGTGTAACTGGATTATGGCTTGCTCTTAAATTTAATGTGCAAATATATTAAATGTCAAAAGAAAATCACGAAATATGTTCAATCAGACTTGATTGTTCACATGTCGCCGTAAAATAGATAGTATATCATCACCTCCAAAAGTCTTCAAGAAAATGAACTATGAATATGATCGTCACACTTACCTTGTTTAATTTAATGTTTGTCCGGATGGCCTTATTCTCATGTTCATAAAGATGTACGTCAATCTCATGTGTTATGTTACAGAATGCAAACCAAAGGTACTGGACCTGCTCATCATAGAGGACATTTCTACCTCTGTCAATCACAGTGAATATGAGAAAATGAAGACCTTTGCGGTGGATGCCATCAGCAACATAAGCATAAGCCCTGCCGGAACTAACGTGGCTTTCGTGGTTTTCTCGGGAAAAGCTGAAGTCGTATTCCACTTAAATACATACCGTGACAACAAGGCAAGCGTCATGGCAGCCATCCGTTCCCAAACACACACAGGGGGGAGCACATTCCTCGGGGATGCCATCCAACTAGCAACGTCTGAAGTCTTCACAGAAACCAATGGCGATCGGTTTGACGCCGAAAACGTGGTACTTCTCTTCACTGACGGGAAAACCAGCGCTGATGAAGATGTGCAAAGTAGCATTAAAGAGTTGAAAGCTATGGCGGAAGTGTTTGTGGTGACAGTCACCGCACAATCGGACAACACTACCGTCGACATCGTAGCTTCTTCACCAGCCCTGAGTCACGTGTTTCACATCGATGCTCCTGAAACTGCTAGCAGCATCAAGAAATTCACCGCGGGCGAGATATGCGCAACAATACCTCCTGCCTAACCAAATAAATAACTTGAATAAAATCGTGAGATTTTAGAGCAAAGGTATTCAAATTCAATAGTTTTGTAATTTTTTATTTAATTCTTTAAAGTAGCCTTCACAAAATTTATAATGTACTTGTCGTAAGAGGCGACTAACGGGACCGGGTGGTCAGGCTCGCTGACTTGGTTGATGCATGTCATCGATCCCAAATGCGTGGATCGATACTCATGACACTAGATTGTCTGGTCCAGACTCGAGTATTTACAGACTGCCGTCATATAGCAGGAATGTTGCCGAGTGCGGCGTTAAACACAAACAAACAAGCAATGGACCGTAATTAGGTAAAAAAATCATTTATGGCGCCAAATTCCGAACTCAGTCTTGACAAGAATCTCTTAGATAAGCGTGCACTCTTTCATTCATGTATCTCCTGAAGTTTATGAGAACAGCTGTTACCGTACATTATGCCTGTGACCAATCTGCGCCTGGCGTCTCGGCGGGCTAGTTCCTGTATAAAGACTGCGTCTGGACAGATTAAATGTATGGAACCAGTATCCAGTCGCGTCTAGTCAGTATAACGGCATTGAACCACTACCCAGTCTGCGTCTAGTCAGTATAACGATATTCAACCAGTATCCAGTCTGCGTCTAATCAGTATAACGGTATAAACCAAGTATTCAGTCTGCGTCTAGTCAGTATAAAGGTATTAAACAACTATCCAGTCTGCGTCTAGTCAGTATAACGGTATTGAACCACTATCCAGTCTGCGTCTAGTCAGTATAACGGTATAAACCAAGCATTCAGTCTGCGTCTAGTCAGTATAAAGGTATTCAACCAGTATCCAGCCTGCGTCTAGTCAGTATAACAGTTTTGAACCAGTATTCAGTCTGCGTGTAGACAGTCTAAGGGTATTGAACCAGTATTCAGTCTGCGTCTAGTCAGTATAAAGGTATTGAACCAGTATCCAGTCTGCGTCTAGTCAGTATAACAGTATTGAACCAGTATTCAGTCTGCGTGTAGACAGTCTAACGGTATTGAACCAGTATTCAGTCTGCATCAAGTCAGTATAACGGTATTGAACCAGTATCCAGTCTGCGTCTAGACAGTATAAAGGTATAAAGCAAGTATTCAGTCGGCGTCTAGTCAGTATAACAGTATTGAACCAGTATTCAGTCTGCGTCTAGTCAGTATAAAGGTATTGAACCAGTATCCAGTCTGCGTCTAGTCAGTATAACAGTATTGAACCAGTATTCAGTCTGCGTGTAGACAGTCTAACGGTATTGAACCAGTATTCAGTCTGCATCAAGTCAGTATAACGGTATTGAACCAGTATCCAGTCTGCGTCTAGACAGTATAAAGGTATAAAGCAAGTATTCAGTCTGCGTCTAGTCAGTATAACAGTATTGAACCAGTATTCAGTCTGCGTCTAGTCAGTATAACGGTATTGAACCAGTATTCAGTCTGCGTGTAGACAGTCTAACGGTATTGAACCAGTATTCAGTCTGCGTGTAGACAGTCTAACGGTATTGAAACAGTATTCAGTCTGCGTCAAGACAGTCTAACGGTATTAAACCAGTATTCAGTCTGCGTGTAGACAGTATAACGGCATTGAACCACTACCCAGTCTGCGTCTAGTCAGTCTAAAGGTATAAACCAAGTATTCAGTCTGCGTCTAGTCAGTATAACGGTATTGAACCACTATCCAGTCTGCGCCTAGTCAGCATAACGGTATTCAACCAGTATCCAGTCTGCGTCTAGACAGTGTAACGGTATTGAACCAGTATCCAGTCTGCGTCTAGTCAGTATAACGGTATTGAACCAGTATCCAGTTTGCGTCTAGACAGTGTAACGGTATTGAACCACTATCCAGTCTCCGTCTAGTCAGTATAACGGTATTAAACCAGTATCCAGTCTGCGTCTAGTCAGTATAACGGTATTAAACCACTATCCAGTCTGCGTCTAGTCAGTATAAAGGTTTTGAAGCAGTATCCAGTCTGCGTCTACACATTGTAACGGTATTGAACCAATATCCAGTCTGCGTCTAGACAGTGTAACGGTATTGAACCAGTATCCAGTCTGCGTCTAGTCAGTATAACGTTATAAAGCAAGTATTCAGTCTGCGTCTAGTCAGTATAACAGTATTGAAACAGTATCCAGTCTGCTTCTAGACAGTATAACGGTATTGAACCACTATGCAGTCTGTGTCTAGTCAGTATAATGGTATTGAACCAGTATCCAGTCTGTGTCTAGTCAGTATAACAGTATAAACCAAGTATTCAGTCTGCGTCTAGTCAGTATAACAGTATTGAACCAGTATTCAGTCTCCGTGTAGACAGTCTAACGGTATTCAACCAGTATTCAGTCTGCATCAAGTCAGTATAACGGTATTGAACCAGTATCCAGTCTGCGTCTAGACAGTATAAAGGTATAAAGCAAGTATTCAGTCTGCGTCTAGTCAGTATAACAGTATTGAACCAGTATTCAGTCTGCGTCTAGTCAGTATAACGGTATTGAACCAGTATTCAGTCTGCGTGTAGACAGTCTAACGGTATTGAACCAGTATTCAGTCTGCGTGTAGACAGTCTAACGGTATTGAACCAGTATTCAGTCTACGTCTAGACAGTCTAACGGTATTAAACCAGAATTCAGTCTGCGTCTAGACAGTATAACGGCATTGAACCACTACCCAGTCTGCGTCTAGTCAGTATAAAGGTATAAACTAAGTATTCAGTCTGCGTCTAGTCAGTATAACGGTATTGAACCACTATCCAGTCTGCGCATAGTCAGTATAACAGTATTGAACCAGTATCCAGTCTGCGTCTAGACAGTGTAACGGTATTGAACCAGTATCCAGTCTGCGTCTAGTCAGTATAACGGTCGTGAACCAGTATCCAGTCTGCGTCTAGACAGTGTAACGGTATTGAACCACTATCCAGTCTGCTACTAGTCAGTATAACGGTATTAAACCAGTATCCAGTCTGCGTCTAGTCAGTATAACGGTATTAAACCACTATCCAGTCTGCGTCTAGTCAGTATAAAGGTTTTGAACCAGTATCCAGTCTGCGTCTAGACAGTGTAACGGTATTGAACCACTATCCAGTCTGAGTCTAGACAGTGTAACGGTATGGAACCACTATCCAGTCTGCGTCTAGTCAGTATAACGGTATAAAGCAAGTATTCAGTCTCTGTCTGGTCAGTATAATGGTATTGAACCAGTATCCAGTCTGTGTCTAGTCAGTATAACGGTATAAACCAAGTATTCAGTCTGCGTCTAGTCAGTATAACGGTATTGAAACAGTATCCAGTCTGCGTGTAGACAGTCTAACGGTATTGAACCAGTATCCAGTCTGTGCCTAGTCAGTATAACAGTATTGAACCAGTATCCAGTCTGCGTCTAGTCAGTATAACGGTATGGAACCACTATCCAGTCTGTGTCTAGTCAGTATAACGGTATAAACCAAGTATCCAGTCTGCGTCTAGTCAGTATAACGGTATTGAACCACTACCCAGTCTGCGTTTAGTTAGTATAAAGGTTTTCAACCAGTATCCAGTCTGCGTCTAGTCAGTATAACGGTATTGAACCACTATCCAGTCTGCGTCTAGTCAGTATAACGGTATTGAACCCCTATCCAGTCTGCGTCTAGTCAGTATAACGGTATAAACCAAGCATTCAGTCTGCGTCTAGTCAGTATAAAGGTATTGAACCAGTATCCAGCCTGCGTCTAGTCAGTATAACGGTATTGAACCAGTATTCAGTCTGCATGTAGACAGTCTAACGGTATTGGACCAGTATTCAGTCTGCGTCTAGTCAGTATAACGGTATTGAACCAGTATCCACTCTGCGTCTAGTCAGTATAACAGTATTGAACCAGTATTCAGTCTGCGTGTAGACAGTCTAACGGTATTGAACCAGTATTCAGTCTGCGTGTAGACAGTCTAACGGTATTGAACCAGTATCCAGTCTGCGTCTAGACAGTATAAAGGTATAAAGCAAGTATTCAGTCTGCGTCTAGTCAGTATAACAGTATTGAACCAGTATTCAGTCTGCGTCTAGTCAGTATAACGGTATTGAACCAGTATTCAGTCTGCGTGTAGACAGTCTAACGGTATTGAACCAGTATTCAGTCTGCGTGTAGACAGTCTAACGGTATTGAAACAGTATTCAGTCTGCGTCTAGACAGTCTAACGGTATTGAACCAGTATTCAGTCTGCGTGTAGACATTGTTACGGTATTGAACCACTATCCAGTCCGCGTCTAGTCAGTATAACGGTATTAAACCAGTATCCAGTCTGCGTCTAGTCAGTATAACGGTATTGAACCACTATCCAGTCTGCGTCTAGTCAGTATAAAGATTTTGAACCAGTATCCAGTCTGCGTCTAGACAGTGTAACGGTATTGAACCACTATCCAGTATGCGTCTAGACAGTGTAACGGTATTGAACCACTATCCAGTCTGCGTCTAGTGAGTATAACGGTATTAAACCAGTATCCAGTCTGCGTCTAGTCAGTATAACGGTATTGAACCACTATCCAGTCTGCGTCTAGTCAGTATGAAGGTTTGGACCAGTATCAAGTCTGCGTTTAGACAGTGTAACGGTATTGAACCACTATCCAGTCTGCGTCTAGACAGTGTAACGGTATTGAACCACTATCCAGTCTGCGTCTAGTCAGTATAACGGTATAAAGCAAGTATTCAGTCTGCGTTTAGTCAGTATACAGTACTGAAACAGTATCCAGTCTGCTTCTAGACAGTATAACGGTATTGAACCACTATCCAGTCTGTGTCTAGTCAGTATAATGGTATTGAACCAGTATCCAGTCTGTGTCTAGTCAGTATAACGGTGTAAACCAAGTATTCAGTCTGCGTCTAGTCAGTATAACGGTATTGAAACAGTATCCAGTCTGCGCCTATTCAGTATAACAGTATTGAACCAGTATCAAGTCTGCGTCTAGTCAGTATAACAGTATTGAACCAGTATCCAGTCTGCGTCTAGTCAGTATAACGGTATTGAACCAC